TGATTCTACAATCTGAGGTGGCCAACTTGCACCAAAGGTAATCCAGTTAAAAGTAGACAAATCATATTGATGTGTCCAAAGGAATGCTGGTTTTTTTTTATAGTTGAACGTATTTGGCTGACTTTAAACACTTTTTATTGAGATACAGAGTGATTCTGATAAAGGATTACAAACTAACGCACATTCATGTTCAGTAATTCTAATAACCCGAAATTACATCCACCACAAGGTATGAGGTGGAGTAAGTTAATTTTTGAGTGTGAAGAGGCTGTTTGAAAGATTTGCACATTCTTTTGCGTGCGTTGGCAATCATGCCAGCAACAAGGCATTGAATTGATTTAATTTTGCCAGTCTTACACTCACATGTTAGTAAAACCTCAATATCTAGACTGAACTGAAGGCCAGGCCTCGCACATGCATCAACAATGTCCTAGGCAGAATCAGGACATTGACTGTGCTGACTTGGACAGGCGCATAAGCCTCAGCGAGATAGGCCTAGATTTATTGTACATTGCAAGCATGATTATCGCGACAAAATAGCCATTTTAGCTCATCTATACTCGCGACTACGAATTTAGTTAGATCGGACATACTACCGAGGTCATCTCAGTAGATTAGACATCGCGACAGTTATGGATAAAATTATTAAATAGTCTAATGGCAAACACATAGCTGCCTATTTATATGTGATGCGAATTGAGGACCTGCACTGGTATTAGAAAAATTCCAATAGTGTAATACAATGGAGCCTGGCACATCTGCCTTAGGATGCAGTGTCTATTTTCGGACCAGCATGCTCACGACTCGAGTCCCAAAGGAGATTGCTGATGATACCTTGGCGAGGTCGAAATCGCGGAACACCCTCCTAACGAGATGAGGGCTAATTCTCGATCCAACTTAATTATTAAAACCATTAGTGCCTATCCCACTGAGTATAGTCTTACCGATAGACAGAGGTAAGAACAATCAGTGTCCGTTGCTTGATATCCTCAATGCTACGTCAAGTGTTAGTTGCACAAGACTTGCAAGGAAAAAGCCTCCTTGATCCCTAACTTCAATCTCTAACCGAGCAATAAACAATAAACTAATTAAAAATCGCATGGGAGAATCACCCGCTAAAAAATGGCACTAAGACTAAGTAGTCGGTACAAATAAATTCGAGGAGAGCTAGGCAACCACCGAGGCACATGCATAGTATTGGCAAGCGTAAACACGTTTTGAGGGCATTCAATGAGGAAAATAGATCTCAGTTCAGTTCCCTGCAAATGTACGCCGCAGGATGGACCTGGATCACATAAATAACCAATTAATAGCCCATGCAAAAGAAATATGATGAACTCAGAAATAGATTGACTAAAGGTTCGTTCTTGTGCACAAAAAGTAAGTCTCTCAAAGCGACTCGTGAGCTTAGTCTCTAATAGTTACATATGAGGAACAAAAGAAAGAGAAAATTAACTCAAGCTCTTTGAATCATGTCGGAGAAATTAATTTTTTTTATATTCTCGAGAATAAATAGTATTTCTTGTATGAGCATAGCATTTTTGTGAAAAGAGACTGTCGACTGCTTGATAATGAGTTCAGTAATTTGATATTTACATGCGTTATTAAAAAAACGAGCCTTCTAATTTCATGGGACTAAAAGTATCTGAGAACAACGAGCTTTAAGTTGGGGAGAAAATTGAACAAGTGCGCATGCGCTAATCAGACGAGATGGGGGAGGAGTTGATGTATCACCAAAAATTTAGCTTCAAGTGTTAGATGACGAGTCTGATAGTTTGAATTGGAAAACTAGACCAGTGAGGGGTATCTGATTGAAGTAACATGAACTGGGAGCTGGTGGAAAGTATCTTTCGTGACAGAAGGAATAAACCTAAAAGAATGACAGGTTTAAATGGAAACAAGCTAGCTGCAAACTTTGACCTAATTAAATCTCATCAGATTTGAGAATAGTACGAAATGAAGCAAGAAAGAATATTATTAACTAAATTGTCAATAAATTCATTCAAACCGTACCTCAAGCATAAAACAAGTTCAAATAAGTCGCAACATTCCAGATTTACAGTACTAAGTGAAAGCGAATCAGATTGCAAAATAATAGACTCCACAAGTTGTAGAGGGGATCAAAAAAAAGTTTGCGATGAGGCTGATTATGAAAGTATTTTTGCCGAAAAAATAAGGTTAATTGGTATATAGATATCAAGATGGACAACTTGAGGTGATGATGCCGATGCCATTATAAAATGGGTCATTAATTCCAAGCTATCTATAACAAGTGAGTAGAGTAAGCAAAATAATATGCAAGAAATAAATTATAATGAAGATATTTAAGGAGACAATGAAATATTTGGTTAGATACATAGCATAGGAAGATAAGTATTTATTTATTTTTGCTTGCATCAATGAAATTTAGTTAATTAAAACGAGATTTTGAAGAAAAGATTAACAAGCACAGAGAAGAGACAAAAGAGTGTATAAAAAAGTAAAAACATATTTAGAGATAAAAATAAAGGATTAAATGTAAAATAAAAATACATAGAAAAGACTGATAGCAATGAATGAAGAAATATATCAAAGAAAGCAACCGCAAAGGAAGCTAAATCGGGCAATCCCAATGATACAGTTAGCAGTTAGTAGGAGGCAGATCTGGCCATACAGAGGCATCATAGTCGTCCGTTTCTCCCCCAGGTGGTCTGGAAATGCCTGAGGCTGTAAAATGGGCCATTGGCCGTCTTGCCTCGTCGCTGGAAAGACGGGCTCGAATGCCAGGCCTCACGAGTGAAGAGGGATTGGCATCAGTGGTTGATCCAATCTCTTGTACTGTAGCAAGACCACTAAGGTGGCCTGAACTACTAGAATTTGGCCGCGAAGGCAAAGTGCCGGTGGCACCTGTGAGTCCAACTCCATTACCGAGGCTAATTCCGGCAATAGTGGATTCTGAGGCACTAGGTGGAGACCCAAGCAGACTCCCAGTCGGGCACTGTAAACGAGTTGCCTGGGCGTCTGAACGTTGGGGAAATGGTACGGGCAAACTGGACACGGCGATATTGGATGGCGATAAGCCCGGACGCAAGGGAACTGAAAGACCGGCTCGATCTGACAGGCCTGCATGACCACGAACTATTTTGGTAGTAGGATAAGACAGAACGTCATCGTCTTCCTCCTCAGTGACCTCGGAAAAGTGATGTGGCTGAAAGCCGGCATGAATGCCTCGGCTAGGTTCTGGTGACGATTATGTTTGGAAGGAGATGCCGAAGTGTGAGTATAAAAGTAAAGATAAAAAGCGAAAAGGATGGGAGGAGAGGCAAGAAAAACAGTTGAGGAAGGAAGGGTTATGGAAAGAAGGATCGATAGAACAGAAATGATATAAATTTGGGATAAATATGGAACACAGGAGAATAAGTTAATGTAATTAGAATAAGTGCCACTTATTTGTAATCGTGAAACTAGGTTGGACAAATGCGTCTCCAAAATGATCAGTGGTTTGATTAGACATTGAGAAAATATTTTCTAAAGCAAAGGGATAGAACGTAAAGATATCTCTTAGGATTTTCATGTGCTTATATAGAAATTTTCTATTTGCGACTATGAAAAGAAGATTCCAATGATGATCCTTGCCAATCTTAGCGTTAAGCTACAAATCGTCAAGGTGGCAAGTGAAGTCAATCCCTTGACCAACTCTCACCTAAACGATTGTGTTGGAAGTTATGATAGCGAGGGTGAGATACGAGGATAGGAGGTAGGCAGATGTAATAGAATAGATGGTAAAATAATCATTTGGCAGAAAGTTGGTCAATGGATTGTCATCATTTGTCGCTTTTACGAGTTATACCTTGGTAGCAAGAGTGACAAGACTCACTGGCGATGCAAGGGAAGCATCTGAAAATGTACTAAGCCCATAATACGACGCTGGGAATTAACGTAACTACAATGAAAGACATAGGAAAAAGTAAGTCCAACTATATCGCTCAAGCAGCCCGACCATGTAACGAAAAGGGAGTCAAATAACTTGCATACAGTAAACGTTTCTGTTATTGGAGTGGCTTTCTCTTCATTTGAAGAGGCGAGTAGAAGGGACTCGTAAGTTGGTCTCATCATAAGCTGTAGATGGATTGCATTAGAGCTGTGATAGTAGATTTATGCGAATAAGTCTTCGGCGCACTGTCCTG